TGAGGCCGGGGCGGGGGTGGGCTTGTGCCACCACCCCGGCCGAGGACGCTCTCTGGGGACGGGTCGCAGGGTGGGCCAGCGGTGCAGCGTGTTCTCCCGAGTTATCCTCCCCTATCCTCCCCGGTGCTAATCCTTCCATTACCTCTCCCTTTGGAACCCCCGGGTGTGCGTGTGGAGGACACGCTCCAGGCTTGCAGTTTTAGGTTAGTGCCAACATTGCAATTTCGCCCCAGCCCGGGAGCTGAACTTTTCTGGGACAGCCCTCCTCCGCGCGCGGGAGGAAAGGAAAAGGCCACTCACCGCTCCTCCGTCCAGTTTAAAATTGAGGAGGGGGAGGCTTGCTACCTGATGCTTGCTCGCCCCAAGAGCGCCGGGAAGGAGGTCGGCCTGGGGGCGAGGAAGGCAGAGAAGGTCGCCTTCTGGGGTTCCGGTCTCTGTGCCCCTATCTCCCCCAGCCCGGGACGCCTGGCGCAGACCGAGTGGAGCCCGCGGCCTGGGTCCTTCTTGCGCGCAGCTGCGGGGGCCACCGCGGCGCCCCCACCACCCTGGGTTGCCAGCGCCTAGTGAGGGCGCCTCTCTCCGAACCACTCGGCGGCTTTCTGCTGCCCTAGCTGCCTCGCCCCCAGTATGTGATGTGGGTGACAATGGCCCAGGGTGGAGCGAGCCCCTCGTCGGCGCGTCCTGGGTGGTCGGACCCGGGCAAACACAAATACAAACCGATTGCTAAGCTGCGGACAATGAGCGAAATGTAGACAAATGTCCCGCTCCCGTTGGAAGCCTTTGTCCCGCCTCGGTTTTTGCATTTATTTCAGTGGCGAAATAATACATGATTGACGCTCTCTTTCAATGTGTCCTAACTGTTTGGAATAAATCTAAGGTTGTTGCTAGTTGTCATGGCATTCAACCCTTTTCAATGGACTATCTCTTCATTCATTTCTGAATCCGTCCACAATATTAAGGAAACCCCTTCATGTCGTCGCTCCCCGATTCCTCTTTCTCCTCCTACTTTTTCTTTTCTCCTTTCTCCTCCTCCCTCTTTTTTCCCCTGAAAGAATTACAAACTGGTTTGAATCGTGTTCCTCAAACACATTATTTTTCGTGTTTTTTTCCCCCTCTTTCCAGACTGTCTTTCTCAGCCTCCCCGTCTTGCCTCTCCCTCCCGCTTTAATGTGGGAGCTCTATGGCCTGTCCAGTTGCAGGAGGGAAGTCCGTTTTCCAGGAATCCGGGAAGCAAGTTTGGACACAGGCGATGGGGTGGGCCTGCCCTGGCCACTGTTACTCAGCTGCTAAATAAATAACTGGCAAGAAAAAGATCCTCAACCCAAGCATTGCAGAAAGGCCCCTCCTTTTGTGTCTCCTCTTGGTCCTCTGTCCCCAGGGAGGGGGCTCTCTTGGGGACCCGTGTAGCCACCAGTGATGGAGTCTGAAGCCAATGGAGTGGAGCCCAGTTAGACCAGGCCAATTCTTGGTTTGGGTGGAGAAGGAAGAACCCGCTTTTACACATCTCCAGAAACAACTTTGGGTTTTTGGGGGTGGGGTGGGTTGGCCGAGACACCTTTCAGAGCCAGTTTGTTCCAGCTTGAAATGACATGCCTCCCTGTAGTCCCACATCTTAGCTTTCCTAGGCTGAGAGGACTTCCTTCCCTGGGACTGAACCCCTCCCTTCACTCCTGGGACCTGGTGAGGTGATCAGAGCAACGGGAGACCTCTTTTCCTCTGTGAATCTAGAGCCCTGGGAATTTGTCAGGGGCAGGAAGGGCCTCTCTGACAACCCTGAGAGCCCGGAAAATGTCAGGGGCAGGAAGGGCCTCTCTGACAACCCTGAGCCCCAGGTCCCAGCCTGGATCAGAAAGGCCAGGTTTGCCCTGACTCCTGACCTTTGGCCTCCACCAGCCCCATCCCTAGCATGCCAGGGCCCCTGCTTCAGCCTCCCCCAGCTCTGAGTCCTTCTTTTGTGCCTCAGGGAAACCAGGCAGGCTGAGAGAAAACTAGAGAGGCCAGGCCTGGCTTCAGCTTCGCCCTGTGCAGCCCAGTCTCAGGGGACTCAGTGAGTCCATGTCCCCGGTTCCTTCCTTGCCCTTGTGGTTTCTGCGTCCGCTTCCAAAGCTTTAACATTTGCAATTGAAAAGGCACAGGGAGACCGCTGGGAGGCCCGTAATTGAAGGGGAGAAACTGGGCTTGTTAGAGGAAGATCATAAAATGCAAGTCCCACAGGAGGGGCCTGCCTACGGACAGCAGCAAGGGCCCAGCTGGCGGCCAGGGCAAGTCCCATGCCCAGAGCTTGCTCCTGGGTCCCCTCGATTTCGTGGTCTGGGCTTGTGACAGCCATAGGCGAGGGTCCAGGAGCCAAAGGCACCTCTTCTGCCTAAAGGAAACAGGTGATTGCTGGTCGAGCCTTCCCCAGAAAGCTGCCCCAACCACAGCCTGGCTTTTTTTCAACCGGGATCTCCTTTTCCTCAGGATCTGGCAGGCGCAAAGGCCCCAGCCTCGAGCCCATTTCCCCTCTCCAGCGTCCTCATTATTGTCTCCACCACCCCTACCCCGCCGGTTGGGAACCTATCAGCATAGCGCTCCAAGTTTCCGCTGGGTGTGTGTGTGGGGGGTGTCTCCCCACTCAGAGTTCTTTATGATCGCTGCCAGATTCGCGCTGGACACCAAGAGAAGACTTGGTTCTAGTCCCAGTTTGAGCTCCATGGCTGCGGTCGGGGCTCTCGTGCGCACTCAAGAGACTGGGCCTGATGCTGCGAACTTGAGAGGAAGTTCAGGTGGGTGCCCTGAGCAGAGTGGAAACGAGCCCAGCTTCCTTTAGGGTCAGGAACAACTCGCACCCAGCAGCACCGTGAGCCCTGCCCGCCTGGTGCTGAGTCTTCCTGCTCCACGCTGGGGCTCTAGGTACAAATGCAGCGACAGTCACTTAGGGTTGAGGGGAGGAAGAGGACCTGTCCCTCGAGGCCAGAGCACAGCTTCATTCGGGCATCTGGAGCTCGGATCCCGCGTTGGAGTGCAGCCCTGCGCAGGCAGCCGGAGCACACCACGAGGGAGCTGAACAATCGCGGAGGCCCAGAAGGGGAGGTGAATGTACACAGCCTAAGTGGCCCCACTCCAGGACAAGTGGCCCTCTAAGTCGACCCAGTGTTTACCTTCCCAGGTAGCTCAAACACGAGCGCCTTTTCTGTGCCCAGGAGTCTGGGGCAGCCCTGAGGCGTTCT